TCCCTTTCTTTTTCTCACTCTCCTTTCTCTCCATCTCTTTATTAGAGGTGGTACTTATGAATGTGGTAGTGCATTAAAATGATAGATGAAGATAGTATATTCCACATAGCTCATCTATAAATAGAAGGTGCAAATAAACCAATGTAGAAAGCAGACACAGCAGGGGCTGTCCTCCTCTGTTTGGCACAATTTTTTCTGTTGATTTTAAGGAATTATCTCATGCTGTGAGACTGCTGCTGCCCTCCTCTGGAGGTTGATATTTTAACATTTTAAAACCTGAAAGATATGAAAATACTTTATGTTCTTCTTTTTGTGTCATACCAGCTTCCGTAACTCTGACCAGCAGCATGTGGGACATCAAAAGGTAAGAACACCTTCATGCTTTTATTAAGTGCACTTTATCACCTCAAGCTCAATTCAACACCAGTTAATCCATTCCTGGTTCACAGTTTGTTGTTCTGTATTATAAAAAATCATATATGTTATGTATTCAACCATGCCTGCCTCAGCCAGTTTTGTGCTTGATTTAATGGAAGGAAGTGGAACAGTTCTGCCATGTTGTTTCTAAAGATGAACTTGACTGGCTAGATAATTTTTGTCCCCAGGAGTAGCCCAAAATAGCAATGGCCAGATAATTCAGTTAAAGGCACCCGAATATTCTGGAGGAGCCAGACAAAAAACAAAATGGAGATTAGTTGCAGAGATTTAACTTTATTATATTATATCATATCATATCATATCATATCATATCATATCATATCATATTATATTATAAACCATGATACATTTTAAGGACACTTTGAAAATTGCAATGTTCAAACAAACAGTATTTATTTGAAATAGGAACATTTTATTTGATATTTTGTTATTATATTATATTATATTACATGAGTGCTGTTGTACTTAATATATTTATCTGTAAAACAGCATGTTAGTGAGTGTGATATTGCTTTTACACAACAGTTCAATAAATAGGAAATTAATATTGAGTGACTCACTTTCAGACAAAATTTGGCCAGTTAGCTGGTACATTTTTTTCTCTGCTCACGGAAATATTTCCAATAGAAGCCAAAGTGTGGGAGTGGAGTTCCCCTCTCCGCTCATAGAGTTCTGTAATCACTCTGCTTCAGCTTCACCTCAGATTTTTTCCATCCTTGCTCTACGCTCACTTGTGTGAGAGGGATTTAGAGTGATCTTTGAGCCAAAGAAAACACAAATAACATTCCCAGACATTTAAAAGTAACTGGTTATATTGTCTCTCTTGTTTACTAAACACACACACACACACACACACGTTTGTTTCTGTGAATTGTGGGGACTTTCCATAGATGTCTATTACTTTTATACTGACCAAACAATATTTTCTACCCCCTAACCCAACCCTAACCCTAAACCTACCCCTCACAGAAAACCTGTTTGCATTGTTACACTTCCAGATAAACATTTACTATTTTTAATAATTTGTTTTCTCTCGTGAGGACCGCAGGCTGCTCCCCACAATGTAAAAAATATACTGTAGTACAAACACACAATTCATCAGCAATAGATACTTTGTTCAAAATGAGAATGAACAAGTTGTGGACCTGTTCTGTGGCCAGTTACATAAAATGTTTAGACTATAGTCTTACAAATAGCTATGTCATGTAATTTTTTTCTTTAAGACTGGACATAACTTCTTCAATTCAGTTACATAAAACATAGATTGGTCTAATTTGAATATATATATATATATATATATATATATATATATACATATATGCTCTTTGATGGACAGAAAATATGAGAAACCACATAACATACATGCAATCACTCAATCATAGAGAAAGAGGGAGCATGTGTGTGGGTTTTCAGATGTGTAATAGAGTGAATATAATTAAAATATCCGATTATGGACACTTCAGTTGAACATAATAATAGATTAGGCTCACACATAGATGAATTGTGACTAACAGCCCTTTGTGTGCATTTGTTTATGTGTTTCCTTTGCAAGTCTGTTAAATTATTTGTTTTTTATTTGAAATAAATGTAGATGGGTTCATGTACAGTATTAGGAAGTCAGCTGGAGTTCATCAGTATGTAAGAAAGTCTCTTACACTTAATTTGGCTGACAAAAAAAATAGACACTGGCTATGCGATCACAGTAATGCCCTCTGTGTGTGTGTGTGTGTGTGTGCACAAGTTTGTGTGCGTTAGAGAGAGATAGGAAGGATGAATATATGGGGGATGGGATGGGTTGGGTTGGGGTTTTTTTTCCATTTCTTTTTCACGTGCTCACACTAACACAAGAAATCAGATTAGTGTGAGGATTACAGAGCACCAACCTTTTTAGAGAAAACACATGCACAGAAAACGTATGAGCTTCTAAACAGTGGTGGAGAGCACTGAATAATCTTTAATCAACAGTTCACCGAAGGATACACACCACAGATGATAGTAGTTTCTGTTACTCCTTCTTCTCTTTCATTTTCAAGGGCCAGATCGAGATTAATTAAATGTCAGCACTGATGTTGTGTGTGCGTGTGCGTGTGCGTGTGAGTGCATGTGTTTGGTGTCTCGCTGTTAATTTGGTGCAAAATGTCGAGTGTCTCCTGCTCTTATGCTGACATTCTGATTAAGAGCATCGAATACCTCTATATATCCTGAAAAAATTTTTATTTGTATGATGCATTATACATACAACCTTACATATATGGTAGATTAATGACGTTTCCAGAAATAACTCTTCTTTATGTGCGTGCGAGTGTTTGTATGCAAGGGCTGCCGGGTCTGTGGTTACCTGAGCACTTTCTGCAACTAAAGCAAATTAGTGCCCTCATTTACATATCACTGTGGGAACTGGGGTACTGATGATGCATACATCTTTGTGACTGTGAACGTATGTGTTTGTGTGTGTGTGTGTGTGTGTGTGTGTGAGAGAGAGAGAGAAAGAGACAGTGAGCATGAGAGAGAAACAAATTTCATTCTGTATTTATTTCGTGTATTGTTCAAATTCAGCCCACTAGAAAAACTGGCACCTCAATTTGCATATAATTGAATTCTGCTGCAGCAAACAGTTAATTATAACAGTTCATCATAAGTGTCCCTATATTTCTTGCTTCCTCTTTAGGCTGCATGATATAAATAAATACATACATACATAAAGGAATGAATGAATGAAACATTTTAGGATGAAGATTTTTTTATTGTGCATGGTACAACATGGACAATAAAACTATATGTAATTTTTTTTAAACTATTAAACATATTTGCTATACATCTTGCATAAGTAAGCCATTCGTAGGTTATAATAAGATTTTCTACTGTTTGTTTAAGCATTCTGAGTATTTTCTAGTGATGGGACGATTGATACCGAGGCTCCGATGCTCCGATGCTCCGACGCAGTTTTCAAAGCACTATTGTATCACACACTGTGCCGATGCTTGTATCAAAAATGACAATACTTTTGTGATTGATGACGTTTGAAGCTTCGAACGTCATGCAGTATCGGAAGGTCGGGACAGCTGGTTTGAAAAAAATCGGCGCTTCGCATGACTTGGTTGTGTGTGTGTGTGTACACTTATTTGGGATTCAGTAGAATAGTTTAGAATAACCTCAACACCAGACAGAAACTGAATGCACATCACACCTCTATTGCATTTTATCATGTTCTAGCTGGGGTCTCAGAGACCCCGAACAGCTCACCCAAAATATTTTTGCTACTACTCACGTCAATTATTAATTATAATCACACACTTGTATATTTTATATTATTGAATATTAATTAATATTATTATTCAATATGTGAATCCATTGATCGGACTACGCATGACACAAGTTGGCACAGATTAAAAACTTTTCAAACCATCCTCTGCTCCGCCATGTTTCGTTAGATAGGCTGGAGAAACTGAGTCTGACCAGCAAATGTCGCTAATGTGCACTGTGTTAAAAAGCTTCGAGTAATGAACCGTTTTTCGGCACAATTTCAAAGCCTCAACGGTTCAGAAAGCCTCGGTTTCCCATCACTAGTATTTTCGCCATTTCCATACATACTCAACAATTCCATTTAATGAAAGAAATTCCACTCTTCAGTATTTTATTCATATTTATCATTATATTTTTACATATATATTTATTTTAAAAATATATACACACACACACACACACACACACACACACACAGATAGATAGATTAAGCTTAAATAATCTATTATATATCTGTTAATCTTTATAAGCTTAAGTAATCAACTAAATGAGGGGATGACGAGACACACTTAGAATCAATGAAACCCAATGGGAACAGGAAAAACCAAATATGGGCATGTCACACACAAGGGGAAATCGAGGTCAATGAGAGCACATAGGGAGCAAAACACACACAGACGGTCCATGTTCCTGACATATCGCCCCCCTCCCGGAAGGTGCGTCCTTGCGCCGAAGAAACAACAGAAGGAGGGACGGGTGGGAACTTGGGAGGGGGCTCAGTAGGAGGACGGACACCCGGGAGGGGGCCGGCAGACAGAGTCCAGGGAGGTGACGACGGAGGGAGGAGCCAAGGAGGAAATAGGAGGAGCCAGGGCAAATCAGACAGAGGGAGGAGCCAGGGAGACGGCAGGAGGGACTTGGAGCATGCGACACCAGGTGGGACCCAGGCCACAGATGTAATGGGGACCCACGGTGGAGCCAACGGAGGGAGGAGCCATGGTGGAGTAAGGGCTGATGACTCCAGGGGGCCGACCAACGGCGGCGGAGCAGGTGGCGGAGGAGCCCGAGGCGGAGACGGAGAGCCGATGAGTCAGGGCGACGGCGAGGATCCGGAGGGCCAAGGCGGAGCAGATGGCGCCGGAGACCGAGGCGAAGGCGGGGATCTGGAAGGCCGTGGTGGAGCTGGAGCGACAGAGGACTGAGGAGGAGCCGAAGGGAAGGAGGAGCCTGACAGAGCCGGAGGGACGAGGCACAGCCGGAGGAGTGGAGTCCCGAGGCGACGGATGGTCGATGCCAGACCAAGGCGGAGCCGGAGGGACGAGGGAGCCCGGCAGAGCCAGTGGACTGATTGGCCACGGCATAGAGGAGGGAGCAAGGAGCCATGGTGAAGCCGCTGGGTCGATGGCCAGAGGCGGAGTCTGGGTCTCAGAGGCTGGAGGCCGAGGCAAGGGATTCTCCAGCCACGGTGATGATGGAGAATGGCAGACCTGCGGAGCTCGCACCGCACTGAGAATGAGCTGAGGGCGAGCAGAGGGGCTGCCAGACGACAGCGGTGGAGTAGGCAGGAGCGGGCGGGGGGGCGGGCATTTGGGGGCTCCCGGGCATTCAGGGATAAACTCAGGAACGGGAGCCCTCTCTCCTTCTGAGTTACACAGTCCCAGATCCATAATTAGCTCACCCTCAGCCACGGTGCAGGGGGCGGAGCTCCTCTCCGCGCTCTCACTGTCCACGGCTTTCTCCCTCGTGGCGGGGATTGTAGCCGGCTCTCGCACCTGGTCTGACGATCCGTGAGGCTCTGGCTCCGTGGCGATCCTCGCACTCCTAGGCGATGGCTCGTCGGTCGCAATGGGCTCGGGCTCTCCGTCAACGGTGGGCTCGGGCTTGCACTCTGCGCAGCGGGGAGATGGTGGGCTGGGCACTGGGTCTGGCTGTGTTCTGGATCGGAGGTAGACACTCTCCAGACACCAGATGATTGCCTACCTCCAGCTCAGTCCGGTGGTTTCTGGGAGGTCGACGGGGCAGTAGTAGTTAGCCCCGATCCAGAACAGTGAGTTCAGTGCAGCGTCGTCGAGCTGGCTGAACTCAACCGCATACTCCAAAAGGGGAAGGTCCTTGCGGGCGAGGGAGGTAAACTTTGCGGCGAGGGGATCCATGGGGAGCACGGGGAAACCAGAAAACAAAACACTGTAAAAACGCAAAAAATAAACAGAGAGGAACAACGCAAATAAATGTTTTGTAGGTCCGGTGTTCTGTCACGCTTGCTGCTACGGCGTGGAGCGAGGAACAAGGAGACGTAGGAATAAACTCAAATACCAGTCTTTAATGATAATCCAAAGGAATACACGTAGCACAAACATAGGGAATCAGAAGACATTAGACACTGGACAAAGCAAACAGAACAGAACTGAGCTTAAGTAATCAGCTAAATGAGGGGATAACGAGACACACCTGGAATCAATGAAACCCAATGGGAACAGGAAAAACCAAATATGGGCATGTCACACATGAGGGAAAACTAGGTAAATGGGAGCACATAGGGAGCAAAACACACACAGACAGTCCATATTCCTGACACTGGGATGGCCTGAGGATCAGTAAATTAACAGCAAATTTAAATTTTTAGGTGAACTATCCCTTTAAAGCTCCAGTTGACAAACATTACATTTGTAATACAACTGCAAAATTCAGTTTAAACTTTGTTTAATGAACTAAAAAAACTAAACTAAATGTTAGCAAACATTTACAAATATTACTACTGTTCACAATTACATCTTTAAAATGAGGCAGAAGTAAAAACAAATGTGTTACAGTATATAAAATCAAGTGACAAGTCATCTTTATTTATAATACTGATGGTGTCAAAGCAGCTTTACACAGTCAAACAGGAAAATAGTTTGTCAATAATGCAAGAGGACAATAAGTCATTTTTCCAAATAAATTCAGTTCATTGATGATTCAGTGAAGTCATCATCCAGTTCAGCTCTCATTGTTCAGTTCAGTTAAGCATTGCAAATAGTGCAATCAGTCAAGCGTCCCCAAATAAGCAAGCCAAAGGCAACAGAGGCAAGGACCCAAAACTCTATCGGTGACAGAAATGGAGAAAAAACCTTGGGAGAATCCAGGTTCAGTCGGGGGCCAGTTCTCCTCTGGCCAGACCAAACCAGCATGGTGTGGTTTAATTCCAGGATGCAACACAGGTTAGATCGAATAGATTGAGCAGAGGACTCGTCTGTTTCTCGTGGTCTTGTCCCAATGGCTGACGGGGTCTTCACAGGGGATCTGTCTCTGGAGCTCATCTAGCTGACATGACCTCCGCTGACATTCAGGGCTGTAGAGGTCATCTCTAGGTGCTGATCCACCATCTGGTCTGGATATGAACTGGATCCGGGTGACTGCAGTGATCATCTGATCTGGATACAGACTGGATCTGGGTGGCTACAGTGACCTCGGAATAAGAAAGAAAGACTAATATTAGCGTAGATGCCACTGAGAACAATAAAGGACATTATAATTGTAGTAAAAACTCAACATTTACACATATTACCTGGAATGAAAACAATAAAGTCTCAGTCTTGAAAGTACACACACACTATGTAGTTGCAGTGGAGGGGTCTGGTCACGTGTCAGTGTTTGGTGCCTTGGGAAATCTTTGGCCACACCCTGATGGAGAAAGAAAAGTACAATTTATCTCAAATTCTCATTGAATGCAGATTCATGTTTTTCGTCAGCAGAACAATTTACAGTAGCACTACTGCTTTTGAGTAAACAGAAAAGTACCGCAATTTCCCATATACAGTAACTTACTGTAAATTACATAAAAATGACCATAATGCAGTGCATATTACAGTAATTAACTGTAAAAAAATATTTATGGTATTATACTGGCCTTTTTTGCCGTAAGTAACTGTAAAATTACAGCAAAGTCTAACAGTGTCTTTAACTCTGTCCTGTTAATTAAGGACAGATAAAGTACGTCCGTGACATGCAGAAATTATAAAATTTCATGTAGGAATTATTAAATGTAATTTCAAATATTTGTATTTGTGTCAAATATTAAGTAATGTGACAAAAATGACATTTAGCATATCCTTATTGAATGTGCTTCCACTTTAATGCTCAGATGCAGAGTAAACCACCTTTTCTTTATGTAACATGATTCATTCATTTAAATTAATTAATTTAATTAATGATTCATGTAAATCTAAAATACAGTGTAGAACTGTGTAACAGAGTAAAATGTAAGCACAGGCGCACTTGTCTTGACATTTACTATGCTGCTTAAATTCGTTCTGAATAACAAACACACTAAATTTACTTCTGTGAATATGCATTATTTTAACTAGTTTATCTTAGATTATAGACCGACTGCAACCAATTTATCCACTACTGCTGCCTTCAACGAGTCCATCGGCAGAGCGCAATACATGGGAATGAGCTTCAACATGTTCCATTCTAACGCTGCTTTAATCGCCTCTGCATCATGTTATATTCACTGTTCCTGTATCTAGCTTACTGTTTGCGGTCACTGTTGATCTAGTCAGTGAGTCTTTTCCTCGCTCGTTTGGCCTGGCCTGATGCAAAGAGTGGTTGTGCGCCTGAATATACTTTCCCTAATAAATATTTTTTAATTCCTACTTTGCATATAGGTAAGAACTGACACTGTAGCTAATGAACAAGATCAAAAGCCTTGTGCTCAAACAAAACACAACACACAAGTACATGAACCAAGGACAAAGAATTCCCACCATGTGCTCACAACAAAAGACCAAACATGGAGTATGACCATCGGATCCTGACATTGAACCGAAACCCAACCAAACAAGAGTGTCAGGATCCAGACCCCATGCCCCGAACACACACCACACCACATGGACAAGACAAGACTGACTGACAGTAACACTTTTTTTTTTAAATTTATATTTACATTTATAATTAATTTCATTAATAAACTATTGAATATATATTGATTTTAATATATAATATTAAAAATTAAAGTTATTTTACATTAAAAGTTACAACAGAAACGCCATTTGGAATTCACCCCATTTGAAAAGAGTGACATTTCACCGTGGCTGGTTGTTAGTCACGTTTAATGTCGTCTTTTAACATCACGGGACAATAAATGCAAAAGTTTGCACACGCAAAAAACCCATTCAACACAGCCATGTTAGCTTCAAATAAGCACATTACTGTGGTTTTCATTACACGTTTCAAAGATTTCGATTAAAGCATCAACATACAGTACAGAGAAAGACCGCGTGAGCTCATATATTTTAATGTCACGGAAACACTAAAATATCATACAACACGGCAAAATTAAACCTAAAATTCATTATTGTAACACAGCTTTTGACATTAAAGGATTAAACAAGGTGAAAGACCACGTTCCCTTCACTTAAACAGTTAATTTCCCTCAGACTTATAATTCATACAATGGTTATTCAATGTTTTTATATATATTGTACGTTTGTGTATAAATATATATGTTTTAAATAAAATGTTTACACCTTTTTAATATACACATTTTGATAAATTCAGTCTAAGTACAAATATCTATTCAGTGCCACTTACCGGACTCGTGAACTTGACATCCACTTAACTTAAATATCCACTTTTCTTCGGGCATATAACTTACAAAACACTTCTAAATATCCAATCAAAAACATTGAATATGTTGTACGATTTTGTCGATAAATTTTGTCTAAAAAATAACATTTATTTAGTGGCACTTACCTGACGCGTGAACTTGAAAAGATGGCGCTGCCATCTCTCCCGCGAAGTCACTCAGGTTCGTGCACGTGTGGAATGATCTCAGTGTTGGCTGGATTTGTTTGTATTAGTTTAGTTGCCACTTAGCGATTGGCTCTTTCATTCAGAAGGCGGGGCTTCCTGCGATTGAGCGGCCATATTGAGCGTTGGATTTTTTCCCCATTCAAAACTGTACGAGTGACACGTCTTGGGTATTCTATAGTCTTTGATGGGAAGTTGTCACATGCTGTATATCAGTATATGTAAGGTTTTATTTTACAAAAATGTGTTTTTCTGTATTAGTGGTGTTTACATTGGTTTTAAACAGTACAAATTTTTCTTAAAGGGGTCATCGTCATCGGATGCTACATGCACTTTTACAAGTTGTTTGAACTGAAATGTGTGTTGGCAGTGTGTGTACACAACCACCCTATAATGATAAAGATCCACCCAGTGTTTTTTTTTTTATCTCGTTAAATCATTTCCCTTTTCTCATATCAAGCCATTAGGCTCGTTTGAGATGAGCAAAATCTGCGCAGGACCGATCACTGCGAGATGAATGCCGGTTAGAAAAGTGTCTGAGTTACGTCCGACTTGCTCTGATGTCATGCTGACGTGTGCCAAAAAACTCTTGCGATAGCGAGGTGGCTGTGTCGGATTGTGCAGTCGGGCGCAGTTCCTCTCCACCGACTGTGCTGACCAAAAGCATGATGGGAAACGACTGGCTGACAACACAGCTTAATGCTCATTGGTTCAGACAACCGTGATGTTGAGTTCTCTTCTAAAATGTTTTCTTTTTTATATCTGATTTCATGTGATTATGTATTTAAATTATGCATGAATATTCAGTGTCTTGTTCATCATATTTATTTTCATATAAAGCAACAGAACTGAAATTATATCATGTTAATTAGCAACA